ATTGCTTTTGTTAGCCTATCCAGTTGAACCCACTAGATGCGGCGCTGCTACGTTGTTCATTCATATATTGCGGAAAACGAGAGCATCAGTGTGGAGAAGATGTTGTTTACGTCAAAACTGAAACCAAGCCGTTCACACAGAATGCATATTTATCACATTTTCTAGAGGGACATCTATCAGCGTTGCACTCGCGTCTCGCACAAGAGAGCGGCATGTTTAGAAAGCCATGTAAAATTAATGTAAGTTCAACTTTTAAAAAACATGTCTCAAGACTTTATGGCGGTTTTCCCCCATCCCACTGTATCTCATGTTTTTAAATGAAGAAAGTAGCCTACTCTTTGTGATTGGTTTTCGGTCCTTTGTATTAAACTATACATACATGCATGGTGCTGTTTTTTTTCTAATTGTTTAAGCAACTTTATTGATTAAATATGGTTTATAAACATTATTTTAAACATTATGCACTTTTTTTCAAAGATAGTCGTGTTATTTTATTACGCTTTGAAGAAACGTGCATAATATTTTGCTCAATGCGCCCTCTTGTGGCCTCAGGAGAGAAGCCAAAAGCTTTTTTTCTGAAATTATGCCTTTTAAATTCGAATATAATTTAGATATTTTGATAATATTTAAGTGGAAAATTCGAATTTAGTTTTTCAGTCATTTTGACAGCCCTAATGCACACAATGACCACTCTTTGTCATAAATTCCTGCAACTGCTTCAGAGTTGCTGTAGGCCTCTTGGTAGCCTGTCTGACCAGTTTCCTCCTGACTCTTTCATCCAGTTTGGAGCGACATCCTGATCCAGGGAGGGTCTGTGTTGTTCCAAATACCTTCCAATTCTTAATAATAGACTTCACTGTGCTTCTACGCATTGATAAAGCCTTTGAATTTGTTTGTATCCATCTCCTGACTTGTGCCTGTCCACAACTTTATTCCGGAGATCTTTTGTGAGTTTACAAGTCATTTTTAGGAGGGGGGTGATCCTTTTTCCAAATCAGTGATTCTGGTTTTTTATTTATTTTTTCTGACATGTTGGTGTTATCTTTCACTTGGATGTTATAAGTTGCACTGAGTAAATACATTCACAATAGCGTCATACCCTGTTTCTGTCACACGTCCAACAACAAGAGCCACAGCACAGTGGAGAAGGTGTCAGTGACACTATCACACACAGAATGAGAGAGCTAAAATATCTGAATAAAAGAGAAGGCAGACAGAAAGAGAGAGAGACAGGTGGAAAATGGGAGGAGGGGAGAAAGATAAAGCCCTAATTACTTGTGTTAATTGGAGCCCTAGTTTCTCCCTCTCTCTGAGGAGGCACGCTCATCTCTTCTTTTCACAAGAAGAGTGAAAGAGAGAAGAACAGAGATGGAAAGAAGGGAAAGAGAGAAAGAGAGCAAGAGGAGGGACAGACAGCAGGTGGCTGGAAGCAGGTCAGCAGGAGACGAACACAAGGGAAGAAGCTGAGATGTTTCCCTGCATCTATTCCTACAAAAGAAACACGTAAACATTTGATTTCTCAGTCACATTTAAACTTCCTAAAGATATCTAGAAAGCAGGTAACTGATAATTCACATCTATCTGATATTTTAAATAATAATTAAAAAAAATATATATTTTATTGTTTTCCCGTAACAAATTATATTTAAATAAAACATAAAATCTGAATAATAGGTAAATATATGGAATAAATGTAATAATTAGTTAGGGAATAAATGTAATAATAATTTTACTTGACTGCACCTTTTTCATAAAATAATAATAATATGATTAGTATGTATTCATAACAATAAAATATTATAAAATAAAATTATTATTACTATTATTATTATTATTGTTGTGTCTTTAATGTAAGTTATGCAAAATAATTTTCACACTCACAATTGTGCTGTGATAACCTGCACTTTATTTAACAAGGATATCTAGGGAATGGAAGCTAGCACTTGATACAAACAGACACCGTTATCGGCCTATAATTTCATCTCAAGAGGCCACCGTGTGCTTTATATATACCTATTATAAGAGCCCCTGTGCAATATACTACATGTAATTGCAGTAATTACAGTGTAAAAGCATCATGCAAGTGCATTATAAGAGCGTAAACTACAGTTTAACGGAGCGTCTGCTAAAGGGCAATGTCGTAACTAACAGCTCGGTCATGAGAAACAAGAGCACAATGCTCAACTTTAATAGTGGTGACAGATCAAGGTGGTGAGGCTCAGTAACTGTGGTTTATATATCTTAAACACTTGAGATTGAACCTGCAACCCTTGATAAAAGCCTAGATCATAATGTAATCTAATCAGACACTTGTATTAGAAATGTGCACAAGTAATCGACTAGTCGAGTACTCGTTCTGCACCAACTAGTTGACCATAAAAAGCAGTGCTTAAATTACTAAAGCAATTTCTTCTCGTTTTTTATGTATGTATGGTTGTACTGCTGCCTATCTTGGCCAGGACACTCTTGAAAAAGAGATTTTTAATCTCAATGAGTTTCTGGTTAAATAAAGGTAAAAAAAATAAAATACAAAAAAAATACACACGACCGGAAGGAGCGGAAACGGTCGACTGTGGCATAATTAAAGCTCCGCTGCTTTCGAGCCGTACGTGTGTCACGCTCGTTCAGCGGCCTCGTTTCGCTTCGACGGCTTTCAGCCTCACCCTGCTTCATTCTACTACGTTAATAAATCATTAGCTCATCCATGAACATGATTTCTGCCTGAGTCCCATCGGATTGCATCGGCTGTGGGGATGAAGACGACAACTCCCATGATTCCACACTCAGTCACGGCGTCATCAAACTACGCCTTTGTTTCTTTGTTTGTTTTGAATACGCGCCCTCTAGCGGCGAAAATTACATATTGTGCCTTTAAACTGTCATTTATTTAAGTTTTTATTTATAATGTATATTTATAAAGTATAATACCTCAATAAATAAACATCTATTTAAAAATTATTATATGGATTTTTTAAAAATAATACTTAAAATTAATATTTATAATTTACACTACCGTTCTAAATGTTGGGTTCAATTACTTTTTTTATTTTATCAATACTTTTATTAGTAAGAATGCATTCAACTGATTAAAAATGACAGTAAATATTTTACATTGTTACAAAAAATTACTTCAAACGAATGCTTATGCTTTTCTTAGAAACCTTCCATTCATCAAAGAATCCTGAAAAAATTTATCGTCTTCCACAAAAATATTAAGGAGCAAAACTGTTTTCAAAATTGATATTAATAAGAAATAAGAAATATTTATTGAGCGCCAAATCTACATATTAGAATGATTTCTGAAAGATCATGTGACACTGAAGAATGGAGTAATGGCTTCTGAAAATGCAACTTTGGCATCATAACAATAAATTGCATTTAAAAAAAATTCAAATGTAAAAAATGTAACAAGAAAACAATTTTTTAAATTATAACAATATTTCACATATTACCATTTATATATACATATATATTATTTCATTTGATCTATTATTGTTTATTAGCGATAGATATACTGAGTATATAGTGTACTGAGATTTTCCCTTAATAATAAAAACCTTCATTTAAAAACTGCATGTTGTGTTTACTTGTGTTATCTTTGACTAATATTTAAATTAGTTTGATGATCTGAAACATTAAAGTGTGACAAACATGCAAAAAAATAAGAAATCAGGAAGGGGGCCAACAATTTTTCACACCACTGTATATATATATAGCTTATTAATTTAAATGGCACACATGCACTTACCTAAAAGAAAAATTAGGTTAAATGTCAAGGGCAAAATGGTGACAGTATATGGACCGTCTCATCTCTAACTTTCAGTTAGCAGGCCAGACCTTTATCTACTAAACTACACCTCCCCACACGAACAATACCATGGAACAAGCACTGGGTCAAAAAACCCACAAGAGAGACGGTCAAAATTTAATGTGTTACACACACCCACACAATGTACGCAAGGAAGTCAGCGTGAGTCATTATGTGGAATTGCATATATGGGCTGGACCTCAGAGGTGATAATGCTCAGGACTAACACCTTAAACCACATACTGTAAACCCTGGTAACAAGCACACAACCACACACTCACGCAATGTAGAAAGGGATAAGTACAGGAAAGCCAAAAAATTGTGTCTGTGTTTGTTTGAGCAAGTGTGTATGAGAGGGAGAGAGACATAATGCATGATGAAAGGACAGAGATAGATCAGTAGAAAAAACACGAGAAGACATTTATAGAGACAGAGAGACAAAAGACACAACAGCAACACTCTAGAACTTTATATCGCTACACAAAGCACCTAAACTACACACAACAGCATACAGTTCATTTTCTCAAACAATGTTAGTGTCCAGTTCTGTCATGCCACCTTTTTAGGTCACATTTCACCCTTGTGTGTGATGGACAACGAGCAAGATCTGTGTATTGCACTGTAGGGCTGTCAAAATGGCTGAAAAACTCAATTCGAATTTTGTGCACTCGAGATATGTTTTTTCAAAGTTGAACTTGCATTAATTTTACATGGCTTTCTAAACATGCGGTTCTCTTGTGCGAGTGCGAGTGCAACGGTGATAAATGCCCGAAATATGCGTTCTGTGTGAACGGCTTGCACTCTAAAAAATATTGTTTGGACGCAACAAAAAAAAATGTACGCAACAGTTTGCATCATTTTTTTTGAGTTAAGGCAACTTCTTCTGAAATTAAGTTCAACTAATAAACTATATTGTGCTATATATACTTAGATAATTGTGTTAAAACTAACAATTAATAAGTTGAATACTCATAAAAATTAAGTTGTTCGAAGTTGTTTTTCACATTGTTTTAAATTTGATTCAATCATGGACACTGGTTACAAAAACTACTAAAATATTATTTTTTGATGAAACGGCATTTAATGCTGCCAGGTAACCAATCTTTTAGCATTTTCAACCAAATTCCTTCTGATTGAAACCGCTTGTAAGACAATGTCTAGTGAGTCTGTTCTCAACCTAAGCAAACGCTCTACTCTTCAGCACAATGGTAATCTCATAAAAACCACCAACATAACAGAAACACTTTTAAATACTAATATAACCGAACACTGAACATTAATAAATCTTCTCCTGTTCTGATCTTGAATAGAAAAACAACGCAGCAGCGCCGCATCTAGTGGCTTCAACTGGATAGGCTAACAAAAACATTCAAATGTAATGACACTTACATCGTCATCGCATCTCGTGCGCCACTGATAAGGCAGCCTCCTTAACGCACACCTAAAATTCGAATGCAACGTTTTTGCATTCGAATGTGGATTTTTATATTAAATTCGACGAATATTCGAAATTAAAAAAAACTTTTGACAGCCCTATTGCACTGTGGGAGATGCTGTTTCAAAAGGCATCTCCAAATGCAAAACAAACTCAAAGGGAATGTGTATGTGGTGGTGATGGGTGTAACAAGCTAGGGCCAATGATAGAGGAGAAGAAAGGGCAGAAGAGAGGCACAGAGAAACGGAAAACATTAAGAAAATCATTCTTACCTGGCATCTGCTTCACTGTAGTACTCTCTGGCTACAATGTCTTCAAACAGTTCACCTCCAGTCACCCTAAAACACAGGAAGTTCAGCCTGGCTATTTGCTAATTCAAACAGAATTCCTGTTCTAGTGCACGTCCCTTCCTCGAGCTCAGTTTCCATGGAGACAAGAATCCAATGTAAAAATTCTCCGGAAAGCTAGAACTGTGAAAACCAAGTGGAAGGTTTTTAGGATTCACAAAGACGGCATGCCTTTGGGGAGGCACTTTTCTTTCTGTTTTTTACCTATTTGATACCCTTATTATCAACATGTTTTAGTTCAGTTCTTACAAATTATAACTCATGAAGCCCATGTATTCTTAAAAGGATGGTTTGTGAAAAAAATTTAAATTCATCAAATGGCTTTTGAAGACTTTGAATACAGCACTCCAGTGTTGTTACTGTAAAAATAAGCTATTAAAAATAGTTTACAGTCATTTAAATAAAGCTGAAATAAAATGAACTTTAAAAAAAAAAAACGTTCTAAAAAAAATTATGAAAACTTAAACTAAAAACTGAAATGAAAATAAATTCAAACCAAATGGAAATATTAATAAAAAACGAATAAACTTGACAAAAGCACATAAAAATACTGAAACTAAAATTAAAACTGAAAATACAATAATAATTCAAATACTCTAATAGCATATAAATAATACTGAATGACACTACAGAACATGTGTCATATGTACTACTTATTTTTAATCATTTTTGGAGCTTGACAGCCACTATTTAAAGGGGTCATATGATGCGATTTCAATTTTTCCTTTCTCTTTGAAGTGTTACAAGCTCTTGGTGCATAAAGAAGATCTGTAAAGTTGCAAAGACTAAAGTCTCAAATCCAAAGAGATATTCTTTATAAAAGTTAAGAGTCAGCCACACCTACCTAAAACGGCTCGTTCTAACACGCCCCCACATGTCTACGTCACGATGTGGGAAGATTTGCATAACACCGCCCAAATGTTCACGCAAAGAAAGAAGGCATAACTTTTATTCTCGCTATCTGCTTCGTCATGCCTGGAGCTGATCCGTGCTGGTTGCTGAGGGAATACTACAACTTTGCGCTGTGGATCGCCGGATCGGCTTTCACCGTGGACGAAGCGGAGTCCAGCCCGGGGTCGTCACATGTGGTTGCCGCAAACCCGCTCCTTCGTCTAATCCACCGGCCTCCGCACACTCAAGCCCGCCGCCGATCACTCTAGCCCGCCGGCCATTCCTCGCTCTAGGCCGCCGTGTGTGACGCTGTGTTTCGTTGTGAAAGCGAAACTACTTTGTTTGGCCTTCTAAAAATGGACACGACTAGAAATCAGTGGTTAAGTTGTATTTACAACACTGTTCCAGAACACTTCAACCCAAATATTCGGATGTGTGCAGCACATTTTATGGAGGACTGTTTCCTGATCCTGGTAGAGTAGACTACAATGCCGGCTGTTCTGACTCACAGATTGTAAGTACGTTTTTTATATTTAAAGGATTTGCCACTGACGATTCAACCGTGAGTTTTGAGCAGTGTAGAGTAGTGCTTGTTGTTTGTCATTTCTCCGATCACAAATGCAGACATGGTTTTATGTTTACGCGGCGCGATGCAACGCAACGCGTAAAAAGACCGTATAAGTCATTATAATCCATAATTATGTCCCCACTGGATGCAACGAATGCCTCGTTTATAATGCCTCGTTTTGAATCATCGCTCCGGCCTGACAGGGCATCATCACAGTATGGTAGGGGCGTAACATTTCCGTCACACGCTTGAGGTATTCGGCCAATCACAACGCACTGGATAGCTGGCCAATCACAGCACACCTCGCTTTTTTAGAACGATGAGCTTTGTAAAAATCGACACGTTTCAGAAAGGCGGGGCATAGAGGAGAAACAATAATGTACAGTATGTGGAAAATAATGTTTTTTGAACCTTAAACCGCATAAACACATTTCATTACACCAAATACACAAAATAATGTTCTTTTTAGCAGCATCATATGACCCCTTTAATATCCACTTTCATCAGAAAACAGCAGCCTGAATGACAGCTAGATGTTTTAAAGTTCTCTTGGTAATTTCCTACTTACAAATTACAAAAAAAAAAATCATAATTACAATGGTATGTATGTCCAATCAATCAAAATAAAATGAATGTGTTGGCCAATTTTATTATCTATACTTTCTATCAAAGATACTGTATGAGCTTTATTATAGTACAGCAAAATTAAGAACAATGGAAATAGAACTTCGGCGATTAGATGCATTTTAGGTGTGGAATTGACGCTTTATCAGTGTATTTTATGAAAACATGTTTTTCCATGCAAGCCTGTCACCGTATATAAACAGGCAAATTAGTAGTATTTTCTGGCAAATTTGATCACTGGTCTTCATAACCAGTACACATAATGCATATAAACTACATTGTAAAATTATTATGATCAATAACAATTTGTGCATATGTCCTCATATCATAAATACAATCATTCCAACATGACCTGAAGGCTGCAGTGCTCTTTTTGTGTTCATTTAGTGTTGTGAGAGTGAGCAGATGACATCCGTTTAACAGTGCAGAAAAACAGAATGCTGATAAAAGGCTTCAGAGGCACATAACATATGAAGTATGAATCATTTTAAGCTGTGCTCTTCCTCACGTCAAAGCTAATTTGATGACAGGAAACGGAGGAACATGCTGACAGGAAGTACACTGACACTTACAAATCAAACAGTAGGTAGTGGAAGCCCTCCTCTGATATACTGTCATGCAGACGAACTAAAACAAAAACAGAGAATTGAAGTTAGATTTTATTGTGGCTGTAGGGACAAAAATCACACAACATCCACCTGACCTGAAAGTCTGAGAATAATCAACTGTCAAAAACCCATTTCGAGTTTAAATGCTTAAAATGCACTTTAATAATATACATGTCTCTGATTCTAATTGGTGGAGGTATAGCTCACCGATATTGGGGTGTTTCAGCAGACGACAGATTCGAGCTTCTCGTTCGAGCTTCTGATGGTCTGAGGGTCAAACACAGAAACACACAGAAAGTGTTGTAAGCAGTAATTATAAATCACTGAACGGTGTGATATTAGCTGTAAAGAAACAGCCCAACAGTAAGGATGGACTAATATTAAAATGCTGGTCGATATTGATAAGCCTTCTTTTATATATTTTGTTGTTGAAGCTACATATACTAACACAATAAAATGCTAAAAAATGAAATAAATATTTAGTTAATATGAATTTAGGAATCACAAGTTTACAATTTAAAGTATGAAACACAGATAATCATTTTGAGATCTGCTTAATCTAATCCAAATATAAAAACAAGCAACAACAAAAAAGCATGCATATTTAAATATCTGTCAATATATATCAAATACTGATAAATAAAATAAAATACAACAAAATACATATTTTAACTGACATGGTACCAATAAACTGTGCATTTCAAATATTGTAAAATTTTGGGTAGACTTGGAATAAACCAAGTTCAAAATAAACAAAGCTTCATATCCATCACATTGGTCCTAGCTCCAATATAGACTTACAAGCCATGTTTCCATTGGTAATGACATAATCACAAACCTGATATGCCATTATGCTTTTTAATTATGTCATCACTATTTCCTGTGTCGAGTGTTGAGCATTTGCCACAAAAACATGAGAGGAGGCAGCAATCACAAACTATAAGCTTGTCAGAGTTGTGCTAAATCAACGTCCTAGATCTCATTCAGTCTTGATAAAAGGGTCAGAATGGCCCAGAATCTAGGGTGGCTAGATAGAGACTCAACACAATGTTTAGATGTACACCTTCACTTTTACTCCAGATTAGATTTAAGGTTCAGACGGTGAAAACAAAGCTAATATCTAGGGGTGTGACGGTTCAGATTGCTCATGGTTCGGTATGTGCTTTGTTCAGGGAAAAAAGGACTATGGTCAAATAAAAATAAATAAAATAATAACAATAATCAAACTAGATGCAACAGCACAAATAAATACAACAGAGCAAAGATACCAATAAAATAAACAGTGTTTTTCAGGTGTTTAACAGTAATTTTCAGGCACAGAAATTTAAAAGTGAACAAATGTAAAATAACAGTGCATTTTTCACTGTATAAATTACAGACCAATCCTTGTTGAAGTTACAAAAGCTATTCAATCAAGAGAGGTGAGTGATTTCATTGTCTTTTGTTGTTTAACATTAAATTCACAGACAGCACGAATAGACTGCTGTTCCTTTAAGACATAATTCACACATCCAGTACACTGATACTGATACACATGCGTGTTCTTTCTCGACTGTTTACGTTCACTTAGGCCTGGGCGATAAAACGGTATCGATATTTATCGACGGTACACCTTCTTCGATAACGATATTAAAAATGTTCAATATAGTGCACGATATAGGCACGTGCTATGAGTGACGCAAACAGCACATACAAAAACACAAACACGGACATGAGTGCTGTGCCTGCCTGTGATGAGGAGATTGTGAATAAAAAAAATGGATATTAGTCTAATTTAAAATAGACACTTGCATTTGAATGCAAAAATAGTACAATCAAATGTTAGGTGTGCATCAGCTTCATCAGTGGAGCACGAGATGCGGTGATGATGATGTAAGTGACGGTTGCATTTTAATGTTTTGTTAGTCTAGCCCACGAGATGCCCCGCTGCTGCGTTATGCATTCAAAATATTATAGAAATATAGAAGCTCAATGCGGAGAAGATCTTGATTAGGTTAAAACCGAAACCAAGCCATTCACACAGAATGCATATTCAGCGCATTTTCTAGACGGACAAATACGACCGCTGCACTTGCGTCACACACAAGAGATGTATAGAAAGCCATGCAAAGTTAAAACAGTTAAAACTTTTAGAAAACACATCACGAATC